CCACGTTGATGGGCGGAGTCATCGTGGCCTTCTGTAACGGGTTTTTCGCTTCGGAATTCATGTTTTGCTGCGAGATCTGGGCGATAGCTTAGTCAGGAGACCCTCTATTACACTACAGCATCAAAATCTCATCAACCTCGATTTGGGTGGACGGTGCCTTCAAGATGCTTTGTTTGTGATTTTTGAAAAATTTTCAAATGTGAGGTAACATGGGGTAACAGATTTTGACCAGTATCACTGTCATTAATTTATAATGAGTTGGATTCCATAAGTAGTGATGCTCGAGCTCGTCAGCTCTCTTTTCATGACAGAAGTATAGGCTGCTGCATGACGAAGGCGCAATATCTTCGGACACGCACGTGGCTTATTTAGCCGCAGAGTGCGTGGGCGCAGGATTTATAACGGTGAGGATACGCGCGCGCGTCGCGTTCGCGCTCTCTAAACTAACATTGCTCCTGCGCCTTCGTCATGCAGTAGCCTTTATCTCATCAATTCATTGTTCTGTTTTTTACCACTGTTTCAGGACAAACCCGGAATTCATGCATGCGGCTATTGCGGGAACAGGTTCTACAACTCTCACGTGACCAAAGGAGATGACTTGAAGATTCAGCATCTGGGCCCCTAATCAAGAATCGCATCAGTAGGGATAGTAGATGAAAGACTGTATAAATGAAATATCGCCATCATTACTCGTCTACCAGAAGTGAAAGGGTGATCTTTGCGAAGTACAAGTTTGAGTGGACCCTAATGTTACTAGCGCATAGTACTTGAGACATCCACATTAGGATCTGAGATTTTAAATCAGCAACACTAGTAATTCTCTGTCAAGCTTCCTTCCTTTCTGATTCTCCTGAGTTTCGTCTATAGCATCTTCACTCAGATGATATCGTTGAGAAGGATGCTCAAGAGAACATTTGAATGCTCCAACTTTCACAAAATCCTATTTTCTTCTGGAAGGAAGAGTATTTGAAAAACGTGCAATTGTCTTTATCGCTTGTTTGAGTTGTAGGCCATTAAAGGCTCCATCTATAGTGGGAAGATACTGCTGTACGATATGGCCCCTAAGTCAGGCAAAGCTTAATATGAGCTGCGAAAGGTTATAACCGCAAGCCGAGTCGCCTACTGGAGTTCCCATCTATTATTGAAATACGGCCAAGGAAAGCCAAGAATGATACAAAATGAGAGCCAGAGGTCTGAGGGAACAGTGCTTTGAGTAGACCTTGAATTGCTGATTTAAGAATCGTGTACCATTTAGGTCATAAATTAAGGTAGCTCGTGATTAGCGTGGGCAGGGTTTTGTAGAGACATACAGTTTACTTGTTCATTTAGAAGTTGAATAAGGCACAAGCCCGAAACGGGCTGTTCTAGAAGCCCTTGGTTCTGAAAATGAACGTCCGCCTTAAAGGCAGTG